AGAGAGAAAGAAAGAAAGAAAGAAAGAAAGAAAGAAAGAAAGAAAGAAAGAAAGAAAGAAAGAAAGAAAGAAAGAAAGAAAGAAAATCTAATTACTTGCAGTCGCTTACTTATAGGTCAGGTTAACACAAAGGGCTCAGTCTGCCGATGCTCAGTCTTGGGGACTCCCGCAGTATCCTGCTGTTTGTTATCTCATCCTTCAGTGAATTTACCTCACTCCTTCCCAAGGCCCCTGTGCTCAGCTCTGCTCACTCACTTGCCCACCTCTCCCCAAGTCCTATGCCCTGGGAAATCACTGGACTGTCACTACGGCCCTCCTTCCTGTCTATCCCCATCACACAGGCTGGCTCGCTGCTGACCTGGATCAGGCATCCCTTCCCTGGTATTCATGCTTTCCTTTCCCTCTCCTGCTCCTCCCTGGAGAGGGCCAGCCTGCATGGTAGCCTCAGCTCCTGCCTACTGCCTAGACAACAGTGGGAACATCCACTGGTCTCACTTGGAGGCTGACTCACAATATTATCCCTAGGGGCTGGCTCCATAACAGATAAAACACAGCAACTTCTCTCGACCCAGTTGAGGACTCAGCCTAAGTGACACTGTCAGCAATAATTTGGGGTGGTAACAGACAAGACAGCTGCTGAGACCTGAGGTCCAAGGGTATCCTCAGACCTGATCTCACCTGGTGACTATGGACCCTTGATGTGCAAGGAGGCAAAAAGCCTGCAGCTGACATACTCCAGCACCATCAACCCCACACCTTCTGGCAAGTGATAGAGAAATGAAAAACTCTCCCCACACCTCCCGACAGGGTTTTTCTGTGTAGCCTTGGCTATCCTGGACTCTCTCTGTAGACCAGGCTGGCCTCAAACTCACAGAGATCAGCCTGTCTCTGCCTCCCAAGTGCTGGGATTAAAGGCGTGAGCTACTACCGCCTGGTTGAAAAGCTCCTTTCATGGTTGCAGAATTGGAGTCAAAAGGACAGTAGATGGGCTAACTGGTGGGTGTAAATGGCACGTCCACCGTGAAGACACTCTATATATTCCCAGCACACACCCAGAGCCTAGGCACAGGACACAAAGCTAGGAAAACACGTACCTACACAAAAGCTCGTACACAGACATTCTTCAAAACTACTCAAACATCCCAAAAGTTAGATAAGCAATTGCCCCATCACAGTAGGCCACCATTCCACATCAGAAAACAGCCATGGCCATATGCAAACCTTAGGTGGATCCAAGAGGCACACTGAGGGGAAGAAGTCAGATACATGCAGGACACATTTACAGGAAAACTGAAGAATTCATGTACAGGAACAGAAAACAGCATAGGGGTGATAAAAAGGTAGGAGGGATAGAGAGATGGCTTAGTGGTTAACAGTCTGCTCTTCTCAGGATGGCCCGGGTGGGGAACACATAATAACTATACTTTTTTCAGCTTTGGATTTTAGTTTTTCCTCATAAAACGTTGGGGGAGGAAAGTAGCTCTCCACATTGTAAATACGCAGCTGAGAGCCTCTCAGCCATGGAGGGCAGGGGTTCAAGAACAAACAGGGAAGAGGAGAATATCTTCAACACCAAATGTTTTGGGAGGCCAAGAAGTGATGGCCTAAGACAGGTGTGATGGCGCACACCTTTAATCCCGGCACTTGGGAAGCAGAGGCAGGTGGACCTCTGTGGGTTCAGAGCAGCCCACACAGAGCTACACAGTGGCTGGGGAGGAATGGACAGTTACAGAACCCTGAGGAGAAAGGTGGGGGCACAGCCGGGGGCTAACTGACCTACCTCCATTTCTGATGGCCACAATCCCTTGGTGAAAGTCTTCAAAACTGATCACACCAAGCCCACTCGGGTCCAGGTACTGAGTTAAGTCCTTCACCTGCAATGGGCAAATGAGAACGTGTTACCCACAGGCTCCACAGTTGGCAGGGACAGCGGGCACTGACCCCCTTTACCATCTACAAAGCAGCAACTTGTTCACACCGTTCAGAGCTCAAGAGCCCCTGATTCTTCCGAGCAAGGAAGCAGAGGCAGCCACTGCAAGTGCTCCAGCCACAAGGGAGAGCCATCCTGGAGGGATCTGCCAGCAGCCCTGAGCGTTCTTAACCCTGGGAATAACATCCTGGTTCTCGGAGTCGACAACTGAGCTGCCCTGGTGGGAAAATCAGGAGTTTGAGGTTTTAGGGACTGTTCTAGCATGTTCTTAGTGAGATGGACTCCTCAGCAGTGGAAAATAACCGAGGCAGACAGACCCCTGACATCATCACTCTCGCAAAGGCAGAAAGATAACCCACACGTGCGTGCTACAGTGGACGCAGCTTTTCCCAAAGAAGCCATAATTATATTGTCAAGGATAAGCTGAATCTCACCAAAATGTAAAACTTCGGCAAGCAGGATGGGTAGAGGCAGTAGCAGAGGACTATGGAAAATCAATGCCGGCCTGGGATACACAATGAATTGGGCTACAGAGAAGATCCAATCAAAGAAGGGGGGAAACTGCTTCAAATACAACATTAATAAAACCAAAAGACACGGCAAAGACTAGGTGAAAGTATTTGCAAACATGTATGAAGACTTGAATCTAGAATATACAAATAAATCCTAACTGAAAAGGAAAACAGTGAGACCTCTACAGACAGAGGTGGAAAGATGAGTGAGTCCCTGGTAAAATGCTGGCTGCGCACGCATGAGGACAGAAGTTCCATCCCTAGCACCCACCCCCACATACAAAGTAAGGTGCAGCCGCACACCTGTAACCCCGGGGCTAGGAAAGCAGAAACAGGAGGGCCCTGGGGCTCACTCGCCAGTCTTGCCAAATTGGTGAGCTCCGGGTTCAGTAAGAGACCTGTCTCAGAGACTTTCGGTGGCTAATCGGGGAGATGGGTCCACAGGCACAGATGCTTGCAGAGTAGCATGAGGACCTGAATTTAATCCCTAGCGTTCATGCAAAAGCTGGACATGGCCGGGCGGTGGTGGCGCACGCCTTTAATCCCAGCACTTGGGAGGCAGAGGCAGGTGGATCTCTGTGAGTTCGAGGCCAGCCTGGACTACCAAGTGAGTTCCAGGAAAGGCGCAAAGCTACACAGAGAAACCCTGTCTCGAAAAACCAAAAAAAAAAAAAAAGCTGGACATGACCGCACACACCTGTAACCCCAGTGTCGGGGTGAGCAGGGACAGGAGGCTGGCTGGCTGCCAGCCTAACTCCAGACTCAGGGACAGACTCTGTCTCACGGGAAGAGGTGACAAGTATAGAGCAGGACATCGGGGACCTCAAGTCCTCCTCTGGCCTCCACATTCACACATATGCATACACAACATACACACAAGCATCACATTAAAAAAAAAAAAAAAAAAAAACAGAGAGAGAGGGAGAGTTGGGGAGGGAGGGAGAGTTGGGGAGGGAGGGAGGGACGGAGAGAGAGGAAGATAACCAGGACAACTTCTGGCCTCCATACACGTGCACATGCAACCACATATACACATATACATACAAACATGCACATACAAAAATAAACAAGCAAACACAAAAATGTAGGTGTGCTAATGCGCACCTATCGTCCCAGCTCTTGGGAAGCTGAAGCAGGACAACTACTTGAGTCCAGGAGTTCTAAGTTAGGCTGGACAACACAGTGAAACCCTGTCTTAAAGACACATACACAACTGGCATACCCACACATAAAAAGACAGTCAATACTCTTCGTCACGCAGAGGATGAGAACCAAGAATGCAAGGAGATTGAGTGCAACTGGCGGAAGCGCAGAGTGGTGGAGGGGCTGACGGCAGGGAAGCATTTGCTGGGAGGTGGAGGTGTAAAAACGGCGCTACAGCAGCAGCTGCACCCATCTGACTGACTTCCTAGAAACCCCAAACTGCACATATAAGGGTGGCAATTCCGTGCTATACAAATCATATCCCAAAGTTCTTAAAAACAAGAAAGGAACTAAGAAGGAACCAAGAGAAAAAGACAACTAGGCCAGCAAGCTGGCTCAGTAGGTAAAAAAGGTCACCAAGCCTGATGGCCCGAGGCTGATCTCCATGGTACAAAGACAGAACTCACTCCATCAAGTTGTTCTGACCTTCACACATATGCCCAGGCGCGCGCGCGCGCGCGCGCGCACACACACACACACACACACACACACACACACACACACACACACACACGGAAACGCATGCACAGATACAATATACAACAAGATGTCTTTTAATTTTAAGGTAAATCTTGAAGTGAGGCACACAATATCCAACATAAGTCCCAGAGAAGAAAATTAAAGCAAAGAAACAGACAGATACTGAAAACACTCAAGGAAAACTTCCTAGGATTAAAAAAACAATAATACAGCACTCGGGAGGCAGAGGCAGGCAGATCTCTGAGTGCTAAGCCAGCCTGGTCTACAGAGCAAATTCCAGGACAGTCAGGGCTACACAGAGAAACCCTGACTCAAGAAACCAAACAAAAGACAATTAGGGCTAGAGAGATAGATCTGTGGTTACAAGAGCACACTCTTGTAGGAGACCCAGATCTAGCCAGGTCCCATGGCTCACAACCACCTGTCACGCTAGCTCCAGGGGATCCTCTGAGGGGCACCCGCCCACATACATGTGAGTACATACACACAATACAAATACACAGTCTTTATTTCAGTTGATTTTTTATTTTTTGAGACAGGGTTTCTCTGATCCCTGACTATCCTGGAACTTTCTCTGAAGACCAGGCTGGCCTTGAACTCTCAGAGATCCCTGTCTCTGCCTCCTAAATGCTGGGACTAAAAGTATGTGCCGCCACAGCTCAGCCAAATACATAATCTTAAAAAAGAAATCATTTTTTTGGGGCTGGAGAGGTGGCTCAGTGGTTAAGAGCACTGACTGCTCTTCCAGAGGTCCCGAGTTCAATTCCCAGCAACCACATGGTGGCTCACAATCATCTATAATGAAATCTGGTGCCCTCTTCTGGCCTATAAGCATATGTGCAGATAGAACACTGTATAAAATAAATCTTTAAAAACAAACAAACAAAAAAGAAATCATTTTTTAAATTAATTAGACATTGAAAGCACAATGTACCTACAAACATCAAAGATCTACTCCAAGACTTAGTCTGTGAAATATTTGGACTTCAAAGAAAAAAAATCATTTAAACAGCTACACAAAAATCAAGTGCCTTCCTATGGGAGAAAGCTAGATTATCACTAAGCTTTGGAAAAGCATGTCAAGTAATAGACATTTGAATTCCACCATTCCAAGTGCTGCTAAAAGCTGGAATCCTTTAAGAAAGAACTGAAAGATGGGCTAGACGTGGTGACACACCGAGGCAGAGGCAGAGGCAGGTGGATCTCTGTGAATTTCAGGTCAGCCTGGTCTACAGAGTGAGTTCCAGGACAGTTAAAGCTACACAGAGAAACCTTGTTATGAAAAAGAAGAGGAGGAGGAGGAAGAAGAAGAAAAAAAGAATTCAAAGATGATTAAAATTGACTGCAGATGCTAGGCAAGCACACGTACCACATACTGGGTGATCTACAGAACAGAAGCCTATCTCTCCTACACTAGGCTGGAGCCCTAGGTGGAGGTGGCAGCATGAAGTACCCGGTGAGAGCTGTGTCTCCACAGGGCAGAGCCACAAGGGGCAGCTCTGCCCCTTCCACAAGGGCTGTGTCAGGACTCACCTCCTGAGGAGCTCACTTCTCGGCACCAGGGAAGGCATTCAGATCAAGGCACAACCCTGAATTTGAATTGTAGTGTCACTGTGAATTCAGAAGATATTAAAAAAAAAAAAAGCTGGGTGAGGCCTGTGATCCCAGCTATTCCAGAGGCAGAGGCCAGAAGATCACAAATTCATTCAAGGCCTGACTGGATGACACAGTCAGTTCAAGGCCAGCCTGAGCAACTTACTAAGTGTGTCTCAAAGAGACAGCTAGTGAAATGGCTCAGTGCGTAGAGGCGCGCACGCGCACACACACACACACACACACAGATGCATGCATGCGTGGACATGCACACTAAAAAGAATTGATTAATTAAAAAATAGCCTGGGAGTGTGGCTTAGTGGTAGAGTACATGCCCAGCATGTTCAAAGCCCTGAGTTTAATCCCCAGTATCAAAAAAATAAATAAATAAAATAAAACAGAGTTAGTTTAAAAAAAGAAAAAGATCACAAGTGGAACCAACTGTGGCCATGGGGAGAGCATAAGTTCAAGGACAGTCTGGGTTATGTGACTGTTTCAAAAGAAAAAAATGCACAGGAAGGGAAGGGAAGGGGCTGTGGCTAACTTTCTGTAGCTGTGACCATGGTTTGGAATTCCTTCAAGGGCACTGTGTGAGAGAAAGCTACTGGAGCATTAGGAGGCCTGGAAGAAAATGCCCAGCTGTGGTGTTTCTCAAAGAAGCAAGATCCACTGTGTGATGCTGCAAATTCGCCAGCTGAGTGTGGAGTCCAGCCACACGACTGAGAACAGAGAGCTATCCAAGACCACGGCCGCACATCAACAGGACTCGGGAGTCGGTCAAGAGGCTTCCTTCCAGAACCTTCCGAAACAAAAGTTCAGACAAGAACAACATCTGCAACAAACATCAGGTGTGCATCAGTCTGCAGGCAAAACGGAGCGAGACCAGTTCACTGTGCAAAAACCAGCAGAACAGAAGGAGCCGGCAGCCTGTCCGCCCTGAGCACACAGTAGCCCGGCCCTTCGGACACCAGGGACAGCCCTAACAGCACCACCTCCTGTCCCTAACCAAGTAGCCCAGAGCTAGGACTCTGAACCAGCATTATAGTCAAGCAACAGGAAACAGACCAAAGAACACTAGTCTACATCCTAGGGACGCAAATTCAGCCCGTGAGAAGTTTGACAGACAGAAAATCAACTGATTTCAACAAGACAAACA